TTTTGTGGCCTTTTTTTTTTTTTTTGATAACTTGACAATATTGAAATGCCACAGTCTTTGTGTGTACCACCCAACACTGAAAGCCCATTTGGCACATACACACAAAGATGCACACACAAACATACAGATACAGAAACACAGGGTCGTTGATTGCCCGGGCACAGCATAATGGGTTTCCTTGTGAAAAATGGAAACTCAAAACGTTTCAACAGTGAGAGCACGGAGAGAATGAACGACGTGACGAGTGTGTAGCGTTTGGGGCATGTAGCATTTGTGTTCATCTAATGTTGCCTCAGAGTGAGGTCAGGTGTAAACCTGATGCCAAGACAAGCTCACCCTGAAGGATTTATTGGCTGTGGGTGTTTTGACCTAAATTTGCATTGGCCCATGTTTACCCGCTGATGTGTATTAACTTTGATTTCATAAATTCACATGACACCACTTGTGCTCATTGAAATAATAGTGTGACAAATCTGAAAAATAAAAATGGGTCACATTTATTTTGTCATGAATTAACATTTGAGTTTCTCTCTCACGTCGGGCAAATAAAGGTTTACTGTATGCCATCGTGATTTTGGTGTTTCTGGACAGAAACCTGGGCCATACGGACACCATTCACAGGATCACAAGGCTTTTTGGTATCTTTGCTGGAAGCGGGACTGTTAGCAAATACTTGGGCATTGGCATTTCACGGAATTTCAATGGATGTGAGCACTCTCTCATTCACTGTTCTGACCTCTTGATTCCATGATTTGACGCCGGTGTCCACGAGAATAACAATGCTCGGTGGAGGAGTTGCCAACTTCCCGTAGCCATTGTTGCACTTCTTAAAACAGCTGAGAGCCTGAAAGACTGCAGTCCATTTCGCATCAATCGCCAATTTCCACACAATCTGACAAAATATCTTAATAATCAATTCTTATCGATTCTTATGCACATCGCTATAGAATATGATAGTTAGGAGCATACACCCAAAAGATTTCCGAATGCACACGCAAGGTCACATTGGGTGACGCCATACAGTATACTGAACTCTCTGCAAATGTCCTCCATTCTATATTTCAACTTTTGCTGGCCCTCTTCTTGCATCACTGTGACACAACTCCTCTATCCCCAATTCCCCCCACACACAACACTTTTGAACAGTGACGAGTAACTCCATGAGCACTAATTAAGAGCATACAAGTAAATTGATCTTTTAAGGGCAATTCAAGTTCCTTCTCCCCTTTTGCTCTGATGCCTCCCGATTATCCACATTTAGTAATTCACTGAACGACTGGCGTTCGCTTCTTTAACTTGTACAGTATGTCACAGTGTAGCAATCCTGTATGAAATACATGTGAGCAGAATTCAGTCAGGCACAGATGGAAGTGATTCTAAAAAAACGATGGTGTTTACACGTAATGAACGGGGCTGCAGATATTTTCAGGCTGAAATTGTACTGTATGTATGTGAGAAAGAGAATTTTACAATAGATGTTCTATATATTGATACTAGATCAATTAACAAATTCATTTCAGGCTTAAACCACAAAAAAGGTATCTGCTGGGCTGACATGTCAGCATGGCAGTTCTTTAGTTTTTGCTTTTACTTTTTTTTTTTATAGTAAACATTACAGCTGAACATCTCTCTGTGTGTTTATTTATCTGCTGCACTACAGTCAGCCTGCAGGGACACGTTCACACAGCACAGAATGGGTGATGCTGAACTCAGTAGATTGACACTTGAAACAGCAGATTCCTTTGTACCAGATTCCCTGTAAAACTAACGCCTTTTGAAGCACCATGAAAAGAAGCAATTCAAAGTGGGGCAAAAAGTAAACACAATGTGTGTGTAAGTGTATATGTTTGTACTTGTGTGCGTGTGTGAGTGTAGACAGAGGGAGATTTTATTTTATTTTTACCAGTAATTGTTTTTTTTTTTGTCTTTCACAATGACTGGTTAGCACGTCGGCCTCACAGTACAGAGGTCGAGGGTTCAATTCTTTACTTTACTGTGGGGAGTTTTCATGTTCTCCTCAGGCCTGGGTATACTCCAGTTTCCTCCCACATGGCAAAAACATGGTAGGTGAATTGAATACCCTAAATTGTGCCAAGGTGTGACTGTAAGTGTGAGTGGCTTTTCGTCTACCAGTTCTGGGTAACAGCCTCTACTTCCTGAAGACAGCTGGGCTCGACCGCGCCCGGGACCCTCGTGAAAAGACAACCAATAACAAAAGAAGAATGACAGGCATATATTACTAACTGCAGGATGAGGATAAACCTTCCCACAAAACTTTGTGACGGAGCTGCAGACATGCATATATCAATTTTCTTTACTGCTTGTTTCCTCATTTGAATAGGATGAGGTGCAGCATGTCCCAGCTAACTTGGAACAAGAGGCGGGGTTCACCCCGGGTTGGTCACTGAAGGAAGACGTCCCCATTCATATGTGTGGACACATTCAAATCACAAATTACTCGTCACCTTTATTACGATTTAGCATTTTCTGAATAATGATCAAGTTGTTGCATGATGGAACTTGCTTACAGTCTTCAAAAAGGTCAAGGTCAAAAAAATTGCTGTTCTTCAGGACTTTTTTTTCTGCAGTCATTGGTCTTCAGAACAGATGAGTCTTAGTTACTAGTGCCATCTGCTGGTTGATACCAAGTAGCTAAATAAAGTTTATCATAAGGTAAGATAAGATAAGATCTCCTTTATTTGTCCCACAATGGGGAAATTTACAGTCCACAGCAGCAAGATCATGGATACACCTTTTCCTTTTCTCGTGCAGCCATGCATCTTTTGCTGATGAAATCTGAAATCTAATGTTTCGTGACCTCAGCATTGCCATTTAAAACAGGTGACTTTGACGATTACTTTGAAGACTACATTCATACAATGTTATCTTGTAAAAATATATATATAATTCTCAGTCCCTTAAAATATTGCTTGCACGTCGATCTTGCCAAATGGGGTGACCAAATGCCCTTTAAAACCCTTGATAGATTATAATGTTGATATTTTTTCCCTGCTCTAACAGCCGAAATGTCTTATCTGATTCATAGAGCCTTCATTTCGGAAAGGTTTGGCTTAATAAGTCATGCTTTGTTTCTTAATGTATATTTTCTTATCTCTGTTCTGTAATGAGTTTCCAAAAGGAAAAAACAGATCTTGAATGCTTGTTTTTTTTTATTAAAATATAATACATCAAACACAACGTGCTGAAAAGAAACATGCGCGAGACAACAAAATACTTCATCGTCTAATTTCCATGAAAAAGTCTGTCTGCGCATCGTCTCATTTCTAAAAACTCTAATTCATGCTGGAGACTACCTATGCAGCAAGCTAAGTGGACGGCTATCCATTAAATGCAGACATTGATCACCTAACTACTACGATTATATCTGACTGATAACTCAGATACCACCTTACTTACTCTTATTAGTGTGCCAGAAATGATCCTTTGGATTATTGTACTGTAATTATTTTCTTTTCTCTTACAGTACGCCAGTTGGTATCAATTTTTAACGGATCTTAAAATATCCGAGTTTTTTTAACTAGCAACTGAAAGCATCTTTAATGGTGCCCAGTTTTGGTGTCTCTAATTGGTCAATCGGCCGAGCGTCTCTTATGACGTCACAATTTCTCGCCGTGCTCTTCCGGGAACGCGTGGAGTCCGTAGATAAAATGTAAACAAATCGCCCACTACCGTACTTTACGTTACAATACCATTGAAAAGCGCGACGCTTTGCTCCGCTAAGAGACATCGGCGATATCTAAATTTTTACTCACAGAAAGCACAAGTATCTCTCTCGAACGCGCAATGCTAACGTTAGCAAGGTGACAACTTCTGACGTTCATAACTCGTGGTCAAGGAGCCAATATGTCAGAGGCTGACGACCGAATGGGTTCTATTCGGTGGGCTTTTCGCTGCGGGTCGTGGACTCCTGCCAGGGCTGACTGGCTGCTTGCTGCTCGCTGCGTTCAGCCGGAGGAGAAAGACAGAATAGGAAAGTTTGTTTTCGCGAAAGATGCCAAATCAGCAATGGTGAGCTGTGCTGAACAAAGTGGCCTTTCACAAATTTTCACTGAGATTCGGTTGTCTAATAAACGCGTTCATGTGTCAGGCTGGCAGGTTGCTGCTTAGGAGATTCGTGTGCGAGAGGATGAACATTCCCTGGGCACATATCCGCCTGAAACGATCTCCGAGAGGGAAGCCTTACCTAGCTGCACCACTTCAAGTTCGTGACGATTACTTTAACACTACTTATGGGACGGATGTCATCATTCGTTTGGCAGGAATGTAGTACACGTGCCTCTAACACACCTTCTCCTTAATACATGGGCCTCTGTTATAGTCATGAGAGGCAGGCGTACTTAGGGACGGCATCGATGTTCAATGTGGATTTGTCCAGGTCAGCCCAGATTCGGGAGCGGAACCTCAGACCTGGAGCTTTAACATCTCTCACCAGGGGGACTATGCGGTGCTTGCTGCTGAGAAAGGCGTTCAAGTTGGGGTTGACATCATGAAGACAGTCATGCCAGGCAAGTGATGAACCCAGCAGTCAAATTTGGACCAGTGCTTATAATGTGACGTCTGCTCGAAACACCTTCCAGAACTCTGCACGCATTACAACGCATGATATTTCTAAAACATACTGTAGTTAGAGTCGTGTGCAATGTTAGTACATTGCGCATGTTTTCAAATTTGACTACTAGGTGTCACTGTTTTACTATCGAGGAAAAAAAAATGCTGGGAAAATCTTTGCATGCACGAGATGGCGCTAGAGTACAGTAATGATGTTTGTCTACCTCTTCACATCTGATACAACCGTCATCTCAATTCATTTTTGTCGTTTTTGGTTCCATCTCATTTTTCCCTCCATCTCTACCTCTCTTCAGGTAGCAACACAGTGCCCGAGTTCTTCCGCGTCATGACTCGTCAATTCACGCCGTACGAGTGGCGCGTCATCAAGTCAGCTGACTCCGAGCAGCATCAGCTCGCTATGTTCTACCGCCACTGGGTAACCAGGCGACCGTACAACCTTGTCGTCACATTGGATCGCTGCTATGTCCTACAGGGACTTTTAGGTGTATGCGTTTGTGAGAAAGAAGCATCCTATTGATAATCCTTCTTTCCCTTTCCCTTAGTCACACACACAGATCCATATGTACAGAAATAATCAATATACACTGTTTATCTTGTGCATTTTCATTGATTACCATCTGTTGATGTGCATAATGACATTGTTAATCATTGTCACCATCAATATATGTTAAAGTTTTTAGTCCCTCAACGAGAAATTAAATGTACCATCTGCTGGATTTATCAGTGCTTGTTTTTCGCGAGCATGCAAGTAGCGATGTCCAAGTGATGGAATGTACAAAATTAGCAATCATCTTACTACAACTTTCCTTTAGCTGACTGGGATTTTTTTTTTTGTCCTTCTCAAGGCCCTGAAGGAGAGTTTCCTCAAGGCCATCGGCACAGGACTGGGTTTCAATCTCCAAAGATTGGAGTTTCATCTGTCCTCTGAAGCTCTCACACAGGCCCGTGTTCTCTGCCAGACCAGAATGCATCTGGATGAAGAGGCCGAGGAGAGCTGGCTGTTTCAAGTGAGAATATGTATAAGAGCTATTGTGTTGAGTAAGACCCAGATGAAGATGACTTTTTAGACATACTAACTTTTGAACTGTTTTCTTATTATAACAAAAAAAAAATGGAGCACAAAATCCCTGCGGCTGCACATGTCCCCTGTGCAGAGGCATGAAAAAAACTAGGGAACTGTCATGTTTCATATCTGGATGTGAAGCTGACAGTTTATTCAAATGTTTGCTTGTGGAAGGTCATAACTACAGAGCCGCCAATTGTGCATTGTCCGTAGTTTTTTGCGTGTGTGGCTTGTAACGAGCACCATGTCCGTGTTGCACTTCCTGGTCTACTCGTGGGAGGATGCCCGTGTACGTGGGGAAAACCCACGCAAGTAAACATTCAAAATCCACAGGTCTGAGAGGCAGACGTGCTAGTCAATTGTATCGCCGTGCTTGGTTTCCCACTACATCTTAATAAGAACATGTTGCGTAAGAGTGCCATCTGTTTACAAAAGGTATTTGTCGTTTGTATCAGTTTAGACCTCGAACAGTATTTACAAGCACTTAAAAAGGTCCTGGATAAAATCTGATTGTTACAAACACGGCGGAGGAGCAACCAATTACACACGGTATAATGCCTGGAATGAATGAGTGTAAAGGCAGGTCAATGCCAACACCTGCCCCTCAGTGGATTTCCTAATGGAAGCATCCGCTCTGCGAATCCCAGGTGGTCTCACACTGCTGTGATTGAGAGCGAGGTCCAAGGGGTGCTCCATCAAGGCAGAGGAAACGTCAGTTTCGATTTTCCTCTTTTTTTTTTTTTTTTTTTTTTAAATCCGTCTCCTCATACTCTTTTCCATTCTCGCCATCTTCCCTCTCCTCCCTTTGCTGTCCTCCTCCGGTGTTGCCCTCAGTCTGGTGTTATCTTTTGCCCTACTCTCTCTCTCCTCCTCGCCGACATGCACACCGGCAAAAGAATTAGCATGTGACCGCTAAAGGTTACCAGCAGTCTAAAGTGAGCAAGCGCGTCTCTCTCGTCACGTACTTACCCCCAAGAGGTACCCGATGCTTAATGCAGTTCCAGTGTCAAAGTTTTCTCATAAGGGAGTAGCAACTCACTCACATTGATAATGGTGGAGTGTACCTTTTTTCAACCTTGATTTTTTAATTTTTTTTTTTTTCGTTATCACTGTGCCATACTCCCATTACAAAAATTCTCTTGCTTTTAGACCTGCAACCTCTGACCAGTAAATTATTTTGGAATGGCAGTGCTCACACCCATTTCAGACTGGCTGCTAACTGTCAAGGTCATTTTCAGAAAGGTATAGGTACATGTGAGATTGAGCGCTGACCATAAGTCGGCATTAGATTAGTTGTTTCGATAGACAGACAGACAATGTTCATAAATTGCCTTCATGTTATGACACCATTTTTATGATGTGTGACGCAGGAGAGTTTACTTGACGCTGATCATCATGTTGCTGTCGCATTGGGACACTCGACAGTAAGTATTGTGTTTTGCCTCTGTCTTATTTTTAAGTTATTTTGGATGAGCAGTCAGCTGTTGCCAAATTGTAACCTTTGCCGCATTATATTGTGCGAGCGGTCATCGTGTCATGCACATCATTTGTCTTGTTCCCTTTCAGAACCCTCCCTCATCACTTCCTCCACCCACCGCTTTCACACTGCTGACGTTCCCTGACCTCATCGCTTCAGCCTCACCTCTGACAGAGGAAGACCCCGCCTACTGGGAAAGCTTCCAAACGAAAGCCGAAGCACCTGTGAGACAAAGATGACATACAACGCAGACCCCGTTCACTTTGACTCATTTTTCTGACATTCAGAGAATAATATTGTCACATTTGACCAGTTACAGTGTTCCCAAGGACCGCTTGCCAATACAGACAAACAAATGTACGCACTGAAATTCACAGCCTCCGGCAATTTGGTGCCCTGTTAACGGAACCATTTTAAATCTGCTCGATGCTATATGGTATGCTCTTTGAAATATAACTTAGCCGTTGCAAATATGCTCTTCTAAGAATGTCAACATGGACCTTTTCTTACTGACTAGCACACACCAGGCACTTCATTAAGGATTTGTGCCTGCTTGAACGCCTTCAGAACGTTTTTAATTATTCATGGCATTGAATACAATATGCGCTGCCACGTTCAAGAAATGACATAATATTTTAATATTTCAACTTCATGACATGTGAGGTATCTTTGAAGAAGCAATGGAGGTTCCTCCAGTCTTCCCCTCATGGAACGGTAGTGGACATCAGCACCATGGATTCATGGGTCCAGCTGAAATAAATTCGAACCTTAGCACAATGTCATTGCGAAAAAGCAGACTCCGATCACATTTTCATCGCTTATACTCCAGTTTTACACAAGCAGATTTGAATTATGTTTCCTGCTCTTTGCTGACACGAGCAGCATCAATGGCCATTTGCTGCCTATCCAGCTGGTGCAATTGCCTCTTGTCGGCAAACTCATCACCGTCTGAGATAAGCCCCAGATGTGGGCGGTGTCCCTAATGGAATTGGCGTTTGTAACAAAAATAATAACTTCCATTTCTGGCTGCACGGTTCAAACGCAGATCCCCTCTTTGCAGCATCACTGCCTTCTGGGGTGGCATCACGCACTAAAGAGCCAAAGAAAAAACAAAACAAAACACTTTTAGCCACTGCGAAAGCTCGCTTAGTCAAAGTCTCTGGAGATTCCTGGTAGTTGTGGAACGTGTCCCCTAATACGTGGGGGCTTCACTGTATCATTTCCTTGGGTTTGCAGCTACTGCAATCATTAAGGTCCAGGATGATGGCCCTGAAATCTCCCAACACTCAAAAAGGGGAAAGTCTACTTCTCGACCCTTTTCTGCTTCCATGTTCAGACACTCTTTCAAGTCAAAGGCTGTACTGAAATGGCGATTACAGGCATATGCCCGGAAATCATCCATGTCTGCAGACAGATAATTGTTTCTATTTATACATGAGTATGAGTGGCTTTGTATGTAAATGCACTCCCTTTTACTGCCCTGAAAGAAATAGAAATAGAGGTTGAAAACACACACGCAGTCAATGCCTCCAGCTGGCCTGAATTACTTTGCCTCTTGGCCATTTTAAATCTTGCACTGAGGTCAGGCTGGAGTCACATTTGAAAGCGAGCATATTTAGTAGCCTCGGGTTTACAAGGCTTATCAGACCACAGCAATCTTTTTTTTTTTTTTTTTTCTATATGATGACAAGAGTTCATTGGAGAGGGGGAAACATTCCATCCAAGCGTAGTAGGAGCACATTGTGTGCTCTCTGACAGTTTATGAATGTTCACTTATCGTCGTAACAGTGATCACTGATACAACAACATCGTTGAAAAGAAGACCTCTATTTGGATCCGGCAACAGCCGGTTTCCATATTGGTTGTTGTTCCAGTTCATTTTACAGTCCCAGAGTCAATGGATCGGCCGACCTCGGTGACCACACACACAGAAAGATTCGTAATCATAAATATTGAACGTGTTATGATTGTCAGCACCGGCGGATTTCTGTGTTTCCCTCAGTAGCTGATTACAATTTGGTCGTGGTTGCCTCAAGTCTAAGTGAACAAGCAATAAGAACAAAATTAATACTAATATTAATAATATTAAGAATCTCACTGAATCATACCACATTTTACATCTCTCGATGTGACCTTTGTACGTCATATGTCATTACAATGACGTAATGGACAATAATCACCTCACTCAGGATAAAATTCAGTATTTTAAGGAAACTCAATTCAACATTCCTTTGCCTGTGTAGCTGCTGTTCAATATGAAGCCAAACCAATACATATACTAACTAGTGGAGCTATTTTTAGTCAAACAGGTGTTTCCCCATCCTGTTTACTCGATTAACTGTGGCCCAGTTCCATTTAATGCACTGCAGCCATATCAGCGGGCTCGTGTGTAACACTGAAGCCCTGGCCGGTATCCTTGTAATGTAATACGAGTTTCCCAACATAACACAATTAGAAGGAAAATCATCCAATATGTAGCTCGGCTTCATTATTCAGGCCGACTCTTCCTGAATGTTTATGTGCATGTGGGTGCGATCAGCCATCACCATTTGTTTCTTGTGCTTCTGAAAAATTGCGGCGTGCGGCGATTAGAATGTCACGCCACATTTGGCATAATCAAAACACGCACACTGCAATGATATTAGTGGAAATAGAGCCACATGTTCACAAAATTTCCATTTCACTAGAGCTGTAATTTGTATGAATGGAAAAAGTTCTCTACAGTTCAATCAAAAGTAAATTATACTGACTTAAATGTGTCCAGTTTCTTCTTTTTTTTTTTTTTTTTTTTGTATTCGGTAAACCCACAACCTTCACTGAGATGGAGCTCAGTGCTTCACTCTGACATTTTTAGTAGTTAAGTTCCAGCGAAAATGGCCTTAGTCAGGTGGACTTGACATCTAAGACATGACCACAAACGTTTTACCAAACATTTTAGGCTCAATACCCAGAAAATTGTTGCACATCTCTGAATCTACCAGAATCCATATCGCCAAGCTACAAAGCTTTGGAGCAAGTCACATCAGATCTATGCTGATTGTTGCAAAAATGAAGCCTATCGTGAAATTTTGAAAAAAAACAAAAAAAAAAATGAGATGAAAAGGTGAAAAAGCAAGAAGTGACATTTGCTCCAATCCATGTGCAATGCGAGCCCCCTTAAGACAAACACATGCACAGCTTGATACAAACCATGGACTGTTTTTCCATCTGAAACTGGGACATCTACATCCAGCCAGCTGCACTAATGCAAAAGAAAAAATTATGAGTGTGTGACAGGGACCACGTGCGTGTGCGCTTATGTGTGCGCGTGTGCACCGAGGTAATCCAGTGCTGCCGGCAGAAGCAGAAGGATGCATCACAAAGACAGGATGGAGGGATAGGGTGGGAAAGGGCAAAAATGGAGAGTCACACAAGAATCAAATACTTTGAGGATTAGGCGGAAAAAAGGGAAATATTTGAGAATAATAAATAAATATGTTGTATGCTTTGTCGCTTGGTTGACGCATGCGCATGTGTTTTGGTGTGACCTCAACCCTCCAAAGCACAACCTTGACCCAATCTACATCCCACATATAGTATACACGCCTAGTTTATAATCCAAAACTCTCAGTCAAAAATAGATCATGGCCAGATTTCACTATACTTTTATCCATTAATTAAAATAATCCCATTATTACCAATTGGGGTGACAAATGGTCACATTATTTGATTCTGACATGATAAGATAATAAAATCTTTAGTTGTCCCACAATGGAGAAGTTTGATGTTGCCCAGTAGGTGTAGATGGAGGTATGTGATGTTTCAGATGGAAATCTTACGAGTGACGTGGACCTGAGGGAGGATGAATAAATTCATCCAACGGGCAATTGTAAATGACAGGAAGAAGAGGACATGCAAGAGGGAAGGTGGGTGATTTCTCATTTGACCGACAGTCTGAACCTGCATCAGGTTCACTTCACCCTCACCCTAATCAAAGTCACTGCTGCATATTCAAACGGTTGATTAGTGAGAAAAACATGTCAATGATCACAGCAGCACAGCATCGATTCGTCTTTACAGATGCGTGCATACATCCATATTTGTCCTGACACTTGATCTCATGGAGGCACGATCCATATTGAGGATGGTAATGATGATGACGGCAGAGCCAAAACAAGAGTTCCCCTTCATGTCACACGAAGGACACAGGGGGGAAATTGGGTTTCCATGGAGGAGGTCAGCAGGCAACTTTGCCTTAGTCGTGTTGCAGGGAGGATGGGAAAATGAAGCTTCAAATTTGCTTCATGAACCAGTCGTATTTTTTTGACTCCTCGAGATGCCGTTCTCTGTTCAACATTGGGCTGAAAGCACACTGACTTGTCATTTCTTAAACAACTTTATTTAAACCAACAGTGCCATGTAGAGGCGTCAAAACATACAACTAGTTCATGAAGCAAATTTGAAGCCTCGTTTTCTCATCTCTACTTGCAGGAGCCCGTAGACAAGCTGACACACACACACACACACACACACACACACACACACACACACACAGTCACGCTAACTTGATCCCTCCAGACCTGAATTGAAAGATGATCCAGTATATTCTTAACACCTCTTTAACACATCCTTTACACAATTGGAGTCCTGCGGTAGACGAAAAATGAAACCGGGCGAATAATTGTTGGGGAGCTACTCGTTGGTGTCTTGACTCGTGTCGAGGTTGTCATGATGAGTGTAGTTTTAATTGCAAGTAAACAGCAGAGTGTTGAATTTCCCACACACACACACACACACACACACACACACACACACACACACAGTCACGCTAACTTGATCCCTCCAGACCTGAATTGAAAGATGATCCAGTATATTCTTAACACCTCTTTAACACATCCTTTACACAATTGGAGTCCTGCAGTTGACGAAAAATGAAACTGGGCAAATAATTGATGGGGAGCTACTCGTTGGCGTCTTGACTCGTGTCGAGGTTGTCATGATGAGTGTAGTTTTGATTGTAAACAGCAGAGTGTTGAATTTCCCTTGAAATGCTACGGTATTTTATTTTTTTCCAAAAGATATACTGAATTGAAATGGATACAAAAACAAAAGCCTTGGGACTTGCCTCTTAATTGATCAAGAGCTTGACATTTTAAAGGCAATCCCACTTTTTAATTTTTAAAGCTATTGCACATAATTACCAACGTAAAAAAAATATACTGCCTTCTCTTGTGCAGTTTCTGTTCCAGTTCTCATAAGTGCATGGAGACGTACAAACGCCTTCCCTCCACGAACATCGATACACACTGATCCATTATTAAATGGCTATCCATCACTGTGCCTCATTGATTTGCTTTGACCAAACGAATGCCCGGTGGGAGCGAATGCAACACCGCAGTGAGGAAAACATTCACTTAGGAAAGAGGAGATACTGTAGCCTCAGTTTGGTGAGCATGTACGGGATAAACCCTTTAGCTTTTTCTGGCTGGAGTAACAGTGATCGAGCACAGAGGGAAATATGTTAGTGAGCATCGAAGCTGATATGTAACTCATTGCGACAAAGGTGAACAAAATGGTGAACGCATCGCTGTCATGGCTGTTTAGTACCACCTGGCTGGAGCTACAAGAAAAGAAAAAAACGATTACTGATAATCATGATACTGAAAACTGCCTGTGCTCTTAATTGGTCTTCTGGCAGCAGTTGGACCAATAAATCCTGAGAAGTTAGATGCTACTTGGATTTGGTGGAATTCTACAAGAGCTTCTTTGAACCTTCAAAAAAAGCTGTCTTTTTGTACTCCAACGCACACGGCCAGCAAGTCTCAGAAAAACAGAACAATTCACAAGTGGAGACATCACACAACGCTACAAAGTTGACTCATTCAAACAGAACACGTGTTTTCAGTTCTTGAAACTTTATCGTCAAGGTTTGGCCACACTCAAAAGCTTTTACACAAGCAATGTGACTTACAGTGATGGGAAATATTGCACATGTTGTTTGTCTTTGTAAACCTCATCAGGAAGTCCTCTAATTGGAAGCATTTTTTTTTTTTTTTTTACTGCTTTGATGACATGTTTCCATTGACATGTCAGGCCAGCGGTTGTCAAAACATGACACTGTGCCTCTGTGCAGGCAAATGTTCTTGATGTAGACAAACCATCTGCTGCCTGAAAACACACAAAACACATTTTCCCATTTACTTACCGCGAAAGGTTGAAAAATTACCAAAACATCAGTACTGTCACATAGACACACACAAATGAACAAAATGCCATTAGATTGTTTTTGCAGCTGAAAGAAGAAGGCAAATAGTGCGAGTTCACAAAAGTCAGAAGTCAAACAGGTCAGGGGAATGTTTACTGTTCGAGCATATTTAAATTTCAAGTTTCCAATCTTGTGCAGAGCATGAAAGCATTTTGTGTGTTGTGTGTGTGAGGGGGTGCGGGGGTGCACCACTGTGTACAGGGATGAGTTTGTGCAAAGGGGAGTGATAAAAAGGATGGAACCAGAATAGACAGGCTGAACATTCCGATCCCCTATTTTCCATCCATTCATTTTCTGTATCCTCACCAGCGTCAGGGGTGAGCTGGATTCTCCATTCCAAGATCAGGCCAAAACCCAATGAAGCATTTATTAGCACAAAGAGAATGACTTCATTCCGCTTGCCAAGGTAGCTCATCGAAGATTCAAGCCATCAGCTCTTATTTCTTCTTTCTGTAGCTTTGGTCTGGCACAGACATTGCTTCATAATTCAAAACCGAACATTTACCCCGTCTTGAGATTCTGGACTTTAAGTTTCCCTGCTTGAAGCTGCTCTTTGCAAAGCCTCAGAGAGCGCTACCTCTTCCTCGAGATCCCTGGATCCTTATTCTGTGACATGGCCTTGAGAGAGGCTTGCGAATAAAGCTTTGTGACGCTGAAATGATTGCGTCATTCACACCCTCTCCGCACAAACAAGGAAATACTACAGCTCAGGTCAAAACACATCACGTGCACACTGTTGGCACTAATAGATTCATTAATGCAGCATGATTGGATTGTAGAGCAATATGATTCGAAATGAGTATCTAATGGGAGCGTTGTAATGAAGTTAAAGGATGTTCCAGGAAGCGCGAGGATCCGTCTACACACACACGGGCGTTTGTGTCCTCGGTACGTTGTCGACAGTGAGTACGCAGGGGTTTGAAGGAGCCGCGTTTCCTGCTCTTTACATTGCAGTTGTCATGCAAATGAGAGTCAAGTCATGCGCTCTCACGCCTCTCACACATCAAGTGGGCGTGCGTACTGCAAGCAGATGCAAATCTCTTACAAAATAAACCTCCCGTCTGTCACTCAGGACACATTGTAAAGACAAACCTCAGTTGCAGTCGTGATGTTTGCAGTGCGTTTCGGGTAATCCTGCAGTTTAAAACATTTGCCTTGGGGATATATTTTGATCGGAGATTACTTCGGATTTTGCCATGGGAGACTTCTAGGAAAAAAGGCACACCAAAAAAAACAAAGCTCTTTCATCAGCATCACTTTAATTGTTAAGATGAATAAAAGGCAACCAAAAAAAAACTGAGGAAGGGATGTTTTTAATGAGCAATGTAAAGCGCACACACACACTTCACGCGTACTTAAAAATCCTGCATTGGGGATCCTGCTCACGCAGCCCTGCAGGGTTTCCTTCACAAGCTTTTAATTTGCATGGATCAACTCTAATCCCCATTCCTGCCCATCTCTTTTGCACCAAGGCAACCCTGATGGAAAATTTCAGAGCCAGGGAGCAGTGG